GTGTGTGTGTGTGTGTGTGTGTGTGTGTGTGTGTGTGTGTGAGAGAGAGAGAGAGAGAGAGAGAGAGAGATGTCCAGTTGATGTGGCTCAGTGGTTAGAGCACCGGTTGGAAATGCGCATTGTGGTATGAGGTTGCGGGTTCCAAACTCAATTGCACCCTTGCGCATGGACACCAGCAGGGCGTTAGATTGACGCACGGCTGGACATACACTCCCTTGGGCTGACACATGGTACTATTACAGACACTGCCTGCGCCCCACCCAAGGGTTGGGTTCATGGTGTTGTATGTTGGTTTGGGGTTTCACATGGGTTGCTTGGGGGTGTTGGTCTTGGGTGTTCTGTTGATCTCCCAAGTCTGGCATATCACACGTTCGTGCCATTTCCACTAGCCGTTCACATCGTAGAGTCATACGATTACATGTTTCAAGGTCACGGGTTCGAGCTTGGTTCGGATATTGGGGGGGTCCTTGTCCAGCTTACCCCATTCTCTCTTTGATATACACACATGATGCTGCCTATACATCTCGATACATTGATTTGTGATAAGCTCAGATCCGTACCACACGGCTTGCCGTATCCCTGAGGAAAAATCCCGCGGAAGCCCCGAAGTACGAACGCGGACAGAAAGGGGTTTTTCTTTCTTTTTGCTTTTGTTTTCTTTTTGAAACGGCTTTTTCATTTTGTTTGGTTAATAACTCCCGCGCGGGCGAATAGCGGCCGCGGTATGAAAACCAAGAAACGGTTTCGGTGGGGACTTTTTGAAGTTTTGCACGCGCGCGCCTAAGCTCCAACTTCTTCGCGCATCTCGCACCCCCGTTTCTTGCTTTGCATCCCCGCGCCATCTTCCCTTCTTGCAGCGCGTGTTTCCCCCACGCAGGACTCTTCGTCTTCCCCTCCGCCCAGCTCGATCGTTGCCCCATCTTCTCCGTGAAGTGATTGGCCGCGTAGTTGGGATGCTCGGATCAATGTGGGGAGCGGGAAACCGTGCACCACTTGGACGAACACCCCAATCACGTAGGACCAGGCAATCCCACGGGTCGAACCCTCTAACTCCCCACTCTTCTCCTGCCCTGCTCATCTACACCCTGCGCTGCCCGCACCTGGCGCTAACAACTCGCTGCCTCCCGCGCTATAAATTCGCGCAAACCTCTCCTCT